AATGAGTACTCTACCTCTAGTATGCACTATCTACTTGCACGCTACCAAATATCTCATATAAACAATCTCCCTAGACTAAGGCATCACAAAACAGGCAATTCTAGTCCTATCATGTATACCTAGTCTTCTAGCATGCATAACAATTCATAATTCAGTGCATAACATAACATTGTAAGGTATTCTGGGGATCTTTACCGTTCGGGCGCTGGCTGATCGTACACACTGCTCCATTCTTGTTTTACCGCCTTACCATTTATGAAATGTTGTGTCCTTATTATTTTAAAAAGGTTTTTCCTCAAATCCCCGGTCTGAGTTCAGTTGCACCCGAAAGTACACCCGAATCCCTCAAACCAAGGCTCTGATACCAATTGTAACAGCTCAAATTTTCAAATAAATTTTTCATTTAAAATAAAACATCATTATTCGACAAAAGAATTTATTCCAAGTTTATTGCAAAAATATAAATAACGAATCCCAAGATCTTCAACAATGGCAGTGTGTACGTGTCACGCCGGCGCCTTCCCACGGTCATCACTAGTACCTGAAAAACATAAACACAACTAGTAAGCATAAATGCTTAGTGAGTTCCCCAGTATACGACTTACCCACATACGCCTTCCGGCCCGGACCTTTCGGTCCACATAACATTGCCTTCCGGCCCGTAACATAATCGCCTTCCGGCCCATAACATATCGCCTTCCGGCCCGTATTAAATTGCCTTCCGGCCCATAGTATTTTGCCTTCCGGCCCATAATAGTATAAAACATAACACATATAACATATCACACATAACACATAAGTCATACATCATACCGTTCTTTCTATCACATAAAGTCTCGCCTTCCGGCCCGTATAAGCATACATCACATATAAGCATACATCACATATAAAGCATCTACCTCTCTAGACATAGCATAAATATAACACATACGACCTTCCGGTCACGCAGTCAAACCCTTCCGGGTGAAGTATAGTGAGAAGACTCACCTCGTAGTATGCAAGCTATAAACCCTTCGAGCTACTCGCACTCGATCCGCTAATCTGCAGGCTCCCTATAATACCACATACCTTTATTAATGATCTTATCAAACAAGACAACTGACCCTACTAAATTACATACAGGTCAACGGTCAACTTGACCGGACTCGTCGAGTAAAGGCAACTCGGCGAGTCTAGACACCCCGACTCCACTCGCCGAGTCTAAAGAACGACTCGACGAGTCCCAGTAAGTCTTCAAGCTACTCGCCGAGTCTGAAGAACAACTCGGCGAGTCCTAGTGAATCTTCAAGCTACTCGCCGAGTCTGATCATTGGACTCGGCGAGTCCTCGCCATGCAGTCAATCAACTGCCTCCTGTAATTCGCATGATTCCGTAATATATAAATATGGGGCTTCCTGGACCTTTACACATTCTATTACTGGGATTTAAACACTTATAACAACACTATAATCTATCAAATCCTTAAATGGGTTTCCTAAACCCTAGATTCGTGTACAACACCAAAACTACAGAAATGATCCGAGGATTACCTGGAAAACGTGTTCCCTGTGTCCCCAACGTTCAGAGCTCGACCCCTTGATCCTCCTTTGATCACCACCTTGCCTCTCCTTGCCTAACAACCTCTTTAAGCTTCCACTAGCCTTCACCCTTGTTCCAGATGCCCACAGACTTTTTGGTTATCTTCAATCGGCCAAAAGACGAGACATGACGGCCCTAAAGACATTATATACGATTCAGAATCAAAACGGCTAGGGTTTCAGCTGAACAGCGTCGACTCGCCGAGTCCCTAATGGACTCGTCGAGTCCAGTCGCAAATCTGTGACTAAGACCGTGGTCCTACTCGGCGAGTCAGGCATCAACTCGCCGAGTCCCCCCCCCCCCCTAAATATTCCCCAAGATAATTTAAAGTAATACCTGAAATTCCGGGCTGTTACACGATTACCCGTAGGCTTAAGTAGTTCTCCATCCTAAAGTTCATATTAGAATTCATACGTGGTTTCACTATCACAACTTCGGGTATACGAGTCGAATATAATTAAGATTGAAAAGGTAGTCGAATAACTAATTCCTCCTTAATCTCACGTCCCATCGGGGAAGGGAAGTTAAAGTGGAATCATCAATTCTAAACCTGTAGAAGCTTGATTATATATCGTGGTGGTTTGTTGCTCGTCGAGGTACTGGATTGTCACCTGGATTGGCATTGTTGTTAACAGCTCCGCTAACATTCGCATCGTTAGCGTGAAGCTGGGTCAGAATAGCTGACACGGCAGCCGAGACTGCAGCTTAAAAGGTAGCCGCATCAATCTGAAGAGTTGGTGCTTGGTTGATGGGTTGATCATTTTTCTTTGCCGACATGATTCTGTTTCACGGAAAGAAAATGAATTTGTGAGCGAGCATGGGGGAACCTAAACTTAATTATACTGTTTATGAAAAGAATAGAAGTATGTTCTTGTGAGTTTGACCTGCATCCCTATGATGCAGTCCTAGTAAAGATTAAAGGTATGGTTACAAAGGTTTGACCTACATCCTTCTGATGCAGTCCTAGTACGGAATGGAAATGAGTTTGTAGAATGGTCTCAAGAGGTTTTAACGTTCGAGCTGAGGTATCGTGGTTGGTGAATAACAAGGTCCAACCACTGAAAGAGACTTGGAAATGTCTCCGAAGATAAATCACTGTAGTCCAATGACTTGACTAAAGCATGTTTCAGATAGACTCCAATGAAAGTATGATAAGAGTACTTGAATGATGAATGACACAAAAGTTAGTTGGGTGTCAATATCTTTGATATTCACGATGTATAGATTCGGGAAAATGACCTTGTGGAGGTCTTACATCATATCCAGAGAAGATAGTCCTGACAGCGTAAAGACCTAACTAAAGTACTTACGGTACAAGATAATTTCATACAAAATGCCTTATCGGGCATAGACAGAATAACATGATTCCTTTTTATAAGGAAAAATTAAAGTAACGGGTCTACTACTAGCGACGGTCATCCCTCTGGTGAACTCTCAGTTCAGCCAATCGACGTTCCATGTCAAGTAGGTGTCTTCCGTACACCCGCTGGCGTACTCGAAGCTCTAAGACTTCGACTCGTGATTCAACCAGCGCTTGTAGCAGGGTTTCATGGTTTCTCTCTAATCTCTCATGAGCATCTTCTAGCCGAATGTTGCGGAGGGTATGCATTATCGCATTGGCAACAACTTCGGTACTCTGAGGTAGGGCTGTCCTGCCTCAAATCTCATATCGGCCACTCTGCGGACCAAGATTGGCAAGATTCTATCTGCTGAGCCCCCATTGCTCAAGTCGTAAAAGCTTCGGTCACCATTAAATGGCATGGGCTGGTCTTGTCCTTGGCTCCTTGTTTCCAAGCATTCCACCCACTCAAGGGGTCGGGCCATGAAAAGTCGGACGTGGGTTAGGAATTTGAACGGGAGCTGCCCGGGGTAGGTTCTCAACCTCTGGTT